CATACGTTTTCCCATTAAAATGATGTTGCAGCTAATGAAAAAGATGGTGATCTGGTGGTGCCATATCTGGAAAATATGGTGGGTGGGGGAGAACTTCCCAACCCAACTCCATAATCTTATGTTGCGTCAAACATGCCACATGTAGACGTGCATTGTCATGGAGAAGAACACCTTTCCGATCGATGAGTGAAGGGCGTTTCTGATGAAGGGCTTGATTTAAACGTTCCAGTTGTTGACTTGCTGACTATAGAAATGAATTACTCCTTTGATGTCCCACCAAATGCAAAGCATCACTTTCTGCGGATGGAGTTAAGGTTTTGGGGTCGGAAGTGTTTTTGTCTAGGACTGAACCATTGTTTTTGGCGTTTAATATTCGCATAGAGAATCCATTTTTCATCACCGGTGACAATTCTGTCCAAAAATGGTTCACTCGCATTACGCGCCAGAAGAAACGAAGCAACGTTCACACGTTGGAAACAATGATCATCGGAGAGTTCGTGAGGCACCCAAACACCATCTTTATGGAGTTTTCCTACATTCCTTAGATGTTTACATATTGTTTCGTGAGAGACATGCAATTTCAGGGCCATTTCACGAATATGTTTCGCCTTGGGTTAGACTCATCAAGACTCTTCAGAGCATCAGTATCAATTCCAACATGTCGGCCCCTACCATCACAGTTTTTAAGGCTAAAGTCACGTGAACGAAATTTGCTGAACCATCATTGACACTTACGAGCGTTCAAAATATTTCCATAAACTTCTTTGATATTCTTTGTGGCTACAGAGGCGTTGTTTCCCTTTTTGTATTCAAACAGCATTATGTGTCTCGTCGTGTGCCATCACTTTTAGGGATGAGAGTATACTAAACTTTACACGTTATATAGGCTACACTAACGTGACGTTTAGGTGGTTCGTTTAACTGTTATACGTGATGTACGTTTTTTGGGGGTGGTTAATGAAAGTGTTACAAACAGCGACATTAATTTCTTGACGACCTAATACTTTCACTCGTAGTTGTAGGCCTAAGTGCGCAAACTACGTTTCAACAAAAATTTCTCGCTAATGGTACCTACGCATAACTTTCTTAGCTTTGATCGATAAATAAACGCGTAATTCTTCGAGTATTCGAATAGCGGAATAGATATAATAAATCTCACTATCTAACACTGGCCAGGTGGTTAAGGCGCTTGACTCGCATTCTGAGGGTCGCGGGTTCGAATCCCCGTCCTACCAAACAAAACATGCTTGCCCTTTCAGCCGTGGGGGCGTTATAATGTGATGGTGAATTCCACTATTCGTTGGTAAAAGAGTAGCCCAAGAGTTGGCTGTGGGTGGTGATAACTAGCTGCCTTTCCTCAAGTCTTACACTGCTAAATTAGGGATGGCTAGCGCAGATAGCCCTCGTGTAGCTTTGTACGAAATTCAAAACAAACGAACAAAACTGAACTCATTGAATGCTCAATAACATTCATCATTTACTACTCGTATTTATAATGTACCCTTGTTTCTTCATGAATTTTCTCGATAAGTACATCATCCTCGTTAGTAGCTCCCATTAGCAAACATTTAAATCAAAACATTGAAAAGATAAGATAAAACATTGGTTTTTAATCTTTTCTGGGAAATTTTCTACTGGAAGGTGGACACAACCGTCCAGATTGTTCTGCTTGAGTGTATTAACGCCCCTACGTTACTTGAAGTCGGATATTTGGCTCATTTGTTATGTGATACGTCTACACAACTTGTATTTGTATACTTCCTGATTTAGGCCTAAGGATGAACTTTTGCTAAAATAAATATTGCTCATAAGAGTATATAGTTACTTGTATAGTTTCTTTAAATACTGTATAAATTATGTAAAATCCATTCTTAGAAGATCATTGTCTTCGTCAAAAGAAGCTACAGAAAAATTCTTAGTCACGCAAGCTGAGTTGACATACTGTAGACCTAACTTATAACTCCCGAATTCTTTGAAATAAAACGCATAGCTCTTTTCACTAATGTGCCATTGTTCTTATTATATGTCCAGTTGTAGTTATATCCTTATTGTTCAAGAATATAACCATAGTTTAGAGCAGTATAGTAGTTTGTATTAAATGTGCTTGTGCATGTAGTTACTATTACTAAAGCTGACTTATAACACAAATTATTTTAAATAAGAGGTATGTCTTGTAGTATTATATCGTCAACATTTTACCTTTGTTTGGTATCCTGTTTACTCTCTAAACAGATTTGTTATTTTTTAACACATTACATCGAAGCATTTTTTTTCTCTCTCTCTCCCAAAATTAATAAAGAATTATTAAAAATTATTCAAAAATACATGTTCTTAAATCCAATGATATTTTTAACTATCACACACGCGTACTTGTAGCTACAATGTTTCTGCTCATAAAACACGGTATTTGCGTTTTGTTTTCATTAGCACCATACGGTTATCGTATAGAACTCGATTTTCGAGACAACTTCCATTTAGAGGAAGCCAACAACTGTGAATACGACTATTTGGAAATAAGAAACGGTCCCCATGGATATTCCGATTTGCTTGGACGTTACTGCGGCTCCAGCTTCCCGCCATTGCTTCGCTCAAAAGACCATCGTCTGTGGCTGAAGTTTTCATCTGACGATAGTATAGAATATTTGGGCTTTAGAGCTGTTTACCGATTTGTTTCAATTAAAAGTAAGTTTTTAATTAGGTGAAATTAAACTACCTATTAAAATAACTGCAAGCAAGAACTCCATTGTTACAGAACTACCTCTTATGGATGACATAATAAATCCTTATTACCAAACTTTTCTCACTTTTGAGCTTACTAACAGCGTGTGAAAATATTTCACTATGAATTAGCTTTGAACACTACATCATACTATTAGATGAAAAGTAGGCCCATATTACGTTAACGTTACTTGTGATCAAAGCTGTCTTTAATTGTAACGTTTTACTTTTAGTGATAAATAAAATGTATTTTATTAGAGACAGTGGTGTAGTGTTAAATTTTATAGTGCCGTAGCCCTGCCAATATTTGTCAGACGTGTGACGTCACCATAAGAGTAAAGATCTCAAAGGCTAATTTCAACTTTTTAGTCTATTTTAAATAAAGAAAATCAAGCCACACTGTGTCATGCGGCCAAAACAACCTGCTGCAGGACACACTGTGTTATTAAGAGAAGTGATAGTTTAGCATTTTCTACCTTCTGTAATCTCGGAATGTGGTTATCCATGTTATCACATATTTTTAATCTCTACTGGAATCTTACTAAGCATACCAAATTTCAAGGCAATCCATTAAGGAATACCTGAGATATAGCATCTCCAATTTTGATTGAGTTTCTTCCAATTTTTTATTTCTTTGCACCAAAATTACGGAAACTTTATTTGATAGAAAAACATACTTAACTTTTATGGATTTTTTTCAAATTTGGTACACAGATACTTTATTTCAAACTACAATTAGAAATCTCATTTGGTGTAAATATAAATCACATGTGCAAATTACCGCTCAAAAAAATCACGTGAGCTATCGGTCTAACATTTTTACTAAAGCTTCACCTAAGAGTAAAAATGGGCAGTTTTTATTTTTTTATCATTCGTATTAAAGACGGCTTATTTCGAGGAGCAAAACTATAAGGTGAAAGAACTTGTAGATTGGTAAGGCCAAGCAAACTAGATTAGCAGTTTCTAGCTCACGTTTTCAAAAGAATCATACGGGTGGACGGTTATTATTGATTATTGATAGCCAACTTTCAGCATAAATTTTCTAAATTTTATGAAATTATCCTAATTAAAGAGTGTTTAGCGTCACATGATATCAGCTTAAGCAATTAGCATAAATAATAATGCTTAATATGGCTGAACCTATTGCATGGCGGTGATAACAAGAAAGTGTTAATCTGACTTCCGTGGCGTTACTATAAAGGAAGCTATTAACACCGTCTTAGAAAGGAAAACTACCATCATATATTTTAGAGACTCTGGTTGGTCCTGTAAAGTATAGGTTTGTTCCGAATAATAAGGTTGCGATCCTAAAGCTAATGTTGGTTACTGTCGAGTGTCACTTTCTTACTTGCTGTGGTTTATTGGTGTGTATTGACAAAAAATCATGATATCTAATCAAAAACACCTTAGGTGTAAAAAATAAGGTGCGGCGAAAAAAGGATTGAGTATGTGACTTACAGGAATGAAATCAAAATTGGAGGCCAAACTGGTAGCTACGCTTAAAACAATAACAAGAATTTTTCAGCTAGGCCGCGTATTTTGTTTTGTCCACCATCATGCCCCAAGTTTAACAAAAAACGCGGCCTGGCTAACTAATGAATGAATATTTGCTGTAAAATTCTTATCAGTGCTA